ACGTGTGTTTGAAGCAAGTGATACAGGTGTTACTTCAGGTGTAGTATTCATAAACTCGTCTATTAAATCAAAGTATTCCCAAGATACTTTAGCACTGCCAGTCTCATTATTAGCATCACGCACCGACCTATATTTCTGTTTCAAGTTCTTCCATTTAACAGAACATTGTTCGTCAGTTACGTTGTAACCTCTTTTCTTAAAGTTACTCGCTATTTCCTTCCATATTTTCTTCTGCATACTATTTTTTTTATTTAATACTGATGTATATTGCCTTATTTCTTCTATCAGCAATTTTGTCATTTTATTGGTCTACTGGTATCTACAGTTTTCTGTGAAAATAAGAAACTTAGTGAAACAATTTAATAATTACATTATAATGTCTTCCGTATGATGTAAAATATATTTTTGCAAAGTATTCATTTTCTTATTTCAAAGATATGGAATATATTTCAAAAAGCAAATATTAATATATAATTAGTTTAGCTAGAACTAAAATAAAAACTTTGTTTTACGATATATATACATACCAAACTGATCCTCTTGCTCAAACACTTCTCCCTCGTTCGTATCCATTTGCAATTATCTCTGAAAAAAAAATATTATTTTAATAAACTAATATGTTAACGATATTAAATCAAAGTGAGGTTATAGTCTATTTGTTTCTTTAAAATATATCAGTAAAATATTAATACATCTATCGCTCAATATGCATTTGAAGGAGAATGAAAGTTAATTATTATGAGAATAACAAAAAGTACATGCATACCTACTTTTCTATTTCTTCTTAAAATTCTGCGATACGGGTACAATTTTCGTTCTCTTATTCGTGAGCTAATCCGATCGCTCCATAGACACGTTTAACAAATCCGATTTGTCTAGGGAACTTTTTCCTTAGTCGGTTGATATAATTGCGATTAATCCGATTGCAAATCCGATTGCTAGACGTAAACACCCCTTGGCTTAATTGTCTGGATCGTCTCTCGATCTTGGCTTAATTGTCCGGATCATGCCCCGATCTTGACATAATTGTCTAGATCATGCCCCGGATCTTGGCTTAATTGTCTGGATCATGCCCCGATCTTGACTTAATTGCTTGAATCATACCGATCTTAGGTCATGATCTGATCTACACAATTAAGCTAAGAATATAATAAAACTATAAATAACCCGATATTTCAAAATTTGCCACACACATTTCTAAAAAAATTATGGCTCTTTGATCACATAAAAACGGATCTAATCAATCAAATCTTAAAGAATTATATATGAAATAGGGGTAGAAAAAATTGAAAAATATAATAGAATTAGAAATTGATCGATATCTCAAATATTGAGAAAGCTACAGCGTAAAACACGCTTTTCTGAAAAATGAAAATTCCCTTAAAATCCATACCAGTTGACGGATTTTAATAAAATTATAGGAAAACATACTTTCTATGATACTCTATTTGTGTGCCAAATTTCAACCCGGTATCTAAAAAATTGTAGAAGTAGATGCGTGTACAAAAAATCCGTACACACACACATACATACATACTTCCGGACATTTTCTACTAATATGATTTCTCGACGTATTGGAACATTTTAAACCTAAATAATTTACAAACGGCCAATTTCGAGCTATTACCAGATGTTAGAAAAATATTTAATACATTCAATAAATTATTATTGAATTATTATTGAATGTATATTAATACAGACTTGTTTACGTTTCGTGCCTTACTTGGCCTTCTTCAAAACAATAAAAAAAATTATAAAGAAAAATGCATTATAATATATCGCATTATTCTACGAACAAAACAAATCAATTCGATCCAACGCTACAATTTTCATTAACTCCGCGTGCCAATTTTAAAGAAAAACAATCCGGATGTTATTTTTACAAGAGCCGACAAAGGTAACGTCACGGTAGCATTAGACAAAAACGAATATATTCAAAAAATGGAAACGTTATTAAGTGACAAAGATACCTATAAAGTTGTCAAAAGAAATCCATACGCCAAAATGGAAAGGGAACTAAATGCTTTGATTAAAAAGTGGATACAGAAGGAATATATTTCTAAGAAACAATATTTTTTCCTACATTCCAGCGATTCTACACTTCCAAAAGCTTATGGTCTTCCAAAGATTCACAAAAAGAACGTTCCTTTTAGAATAATAGTCTCATCTGTCAACACGGTACTGTATAATCTTGCAGCTTTTCTGCAAAAAATTTTAGTTGATAGTTTACCAAAACCAAAGAGCCACGTCAACAACAGTTTTGAATTGTGTACTGACCTATCGAAAATAAAAGTGCAGAAGTCGGAGATTTTGATCTCATTGGACGCGGTATCACTGTTTACGAATATTCCATCTGAATTGATCGTGGAGGGTTTAAAAAAGAGATGGAAATTTATAAAAACGAAAACAAGTTTATCTCGTACTGAATTTATTACTGCAGTCAAATTTGTATTGGCTTCCATTTTTTTCACGTTTAACGGTGTTACCTATAAGCAGACATTTGCCGACAGTGGCCGACATTGTTATGAAAGATTTGGAGAAAAGGGTTTTGGGCGCATTGGACTTCCATCTATCGTTTTACAAGCGCTATGTGGACGACATTGTTATGAAGATCCCTAAGGATAACGTTCAGGATGTTCTGGATCACTTTAATAGTTATCATGATAGACTTAATTTTACAATAAAGTACGAAAATAATGGCCGTTTTAGCTTTCTGGATTTGATGTTGATTGTAAGGGGAGACACGATTATAACAGATTAGTTCCACAAAGAAACTTTTTCTGGTAGGCTATTGTCCTTCTTTTCTAATCATCCTATTCAACACAAAATAGGAACAATCTATAGCCTAGTGGACAGAGCAATCATGTTATCACATCCCAGCTTTTATAATAAAAATTTAAATTTTGTCATCAATGTATTGCTTGGAAACGGATATCCCATCGATCTAATATTCTTGCATATTAATAAAAGACTGAGGAAACTTCAGTCCACAAAGAATAATACGGGTAATAATTCCGAATGTGCACAGCAAATAAAAAGTTTTATTGTTATGCCGTATTTAAAACATACTTCCGAAATCATCGCCTCAGCAGTCGATAAATCTGAAAATTCTGTGGGATACCGCACTCTTAACAATCTTAGTAGCATCATTAAGGACCATAAAGATAAAAACGCCCATTTTTCCAATAATAACGTAATTTACAAAATCTGTTGTAAAAATTGTGATGCCTCTTACGTCGGTCAGACGAAGAGGCAATTACAAACCAGATTAAAGGAACATAAAAGCAATATAAGATTAGACGAGTCCAAACATTCAGTTGTCTCAGAGCATACCACAAAATACAATCGTTCATTTGACTGGGAAAATGCACGCATCCTAGAAATTGAGCATAATTACAAAAAAAGATGGTAATTATGCAGTTTAGGGGAAGCACCTCCGATGACCTTGACCTT